GCCCACCCGCCACTCCCCCTTCTCCCTCAAGGACCTGCACAGCCCCGGTCAGGCAGGCCGGGCCATGCGGGCACCAAGGCCGGCCTCCAGGGGGGCAGCCCCGGCGGGAATCGCCTCGCGGTGGAGGGGGCTCGCTGCCAGCAACGTGCCCAACTCAGCCCACCTCCGGAGACGAAAACTCCCTGTAATTGAACCGGGCGCCTCCCTGCGGCCCAGGGGTGCATGTTCTGGTGGGAAGCCTGCTCCTGAGGATCTCGCGGGGGACCCCCAGCTGGGGCTCCCCGCTAAGGGTCAGGCTGACGTTTGCTCAGGGGTCGATTACAGGGAGGGTGGACGCCTGCTCCGAGCACCGAAGCGGAGGCCTGCGCTCTGTGGACAGAAGCCCTGAGCAAGGACCGGACTGAGCCGGGAGCTGGAGGCCAGGTCCTGCCCAGCTGTCGAAGGCCTGCCGTGGCCCTCGGCCTGAGGTCCCCAGGCCGACCCACCAGACCAGTGCTCCCTGCCCCCTAGTGGCTTTGGGGCAGTGGCTCGTATCCAATGGGGCAGTGTGGCCTTGGCTGGGCTGAACCTGTCTGGGAGGGGCTCTCACCCCTACAGCCCTCTCCTCCTGCCTCCCATCACCGTGACAACCGCATCCCCGCTGGAGGCCTCTGCGCCACAGGCAGAACTGCAGGCCGCCGTGACGCCCTCGCGATCAGCAGAGGAGGGCCCTTCGCTGCCTCGACACCACACACAGCCAGGACATCACGCTCGTGACGCAGCAGGGCCGGAAACCGGCCAGACCCCGCACGGCTGGGATCCCAGCGCTGCCTCCCTGACCGACCCCGAGCGCCGACGGCCCCGGCCCACACACGAGTGATCACGGAATGTGCCGAAGCTCGGGCCAGGCCGAGACGAGGCTGTGGGTCCCCAGAGGCAGAGCGTCTCCTCCCCTTCAGCGTGCGGACCCTGCGGACAGGCACCCTCCACTCCCCTGCACCCCCCACGCCGCCCACCCACGCTCAGCTCTGGCCACCTCCTCTCCAACCTTGTCGGCCATTTCTGCTTCTCCCGATCGTCAATGACAAATCACCGTAACCAGGAAAAAACACAATCGGTATGTTGAAAACAGGTCGCCATGCTGGGACCACAGTCAAGGCCAAAGTCATTTCATTTCACGAGCTCTGCTTAAGACTTTCTGACAATGAGAGGGCAACTGTGTCCGGCTCTACGAGCTGGAGCCCTCGACTCTCCAACTCAGGGTCAGCAAATCCACGGCACATGTGCACCTCTCGCCCTTCCTATGATTTCCGTGATCATCCTCATCCTCGCCCGGGCTACTGTCCACCAGCCCACGAAGCTGATTTCTGGTGCCTCCTGAACCTCGTTTCTGTCCAGATGCACAGAAAGTAGGTGCTCACTAAACTAAGACACAGGGGTAATTTCAAATCTTTTCGTCTCTCCCGTAAAAAATCATCAGTCCCGTGTGTGGCCGTCTTTCCACATCCCTCGCTGAGCTGCTTTGCTGCTCCTCGTGCGTCCCCTCCAACTGGGGAAAAACGGGCACGTTTAAGTGAGAACGGCCCAGCTGCCCGCGAAGTCTTTACCTTTGTTCTAGCATCCCTTTCCGGGCCACGAATCCCCCTGGGAACAGAGCTGCAAATCCAATTAATTCCTGCCACAGCCAAACAAAGACAGGGCAGCCGGCGTGGGGCCGAGCGGGAGGGGACGGTGCCAGGCGGGAGGGGACGGTGCGAGGCCTCCCGCCCCGGCTGCTGGGGCCGGCCGGCGTGGGGCAGAGAGCGCGGGGTGGGGGACGCCTTGGCGTGTCCCCCACGTCCACTCCACCTCCGGCCTTTGTGCGTGCTCTCCCTCCGCCTTCAGTGCCCTGCTCCACCCCGGTCACCCCAGTCCTAGTTAGTGTCCTTCGTGACGCAATTCAAGTCCCGCCTCACATGGGAGGACTCGACCACTCTCACCCTGGGTCTACGGCCACCTGGCACGGTGCCTGGCACCAGAAATGGACGCATAGGTGGACAGACAGATGGACAAACGGATGGATAAATGGATGATCAGATGGACGGACGGACGGACAGATGGATGGGTGGGTGGATGGACTGATGGATAGATAGGTAGATGGACAAGCAGACAGGTGAAGAGACAGGTGGGTGGGTGGGTGGATTGATGTGTAGGTCGATGGGCGGGTGAATGAGATGAGTCAGCGGGTGGGGGTGGCCAGAAGACGGGTGTGGGGACCAGTGGGAAGTGGACGGCTGGCCACGGATGTACGTCTGATATTCTAGAGCTGGTCTCCCCCCTAAACAGCGAGTGGCAGCCTGACTTAGGTCCGAGGAAGCCCCTTCAGGAAGAGCTTTTGAGAAATCAAGCAGAGGTGTTCAAGACATCACTGAGCTGTGACTTTCCGACCCCAACCCGCATTTGACGGTGGCAGACTCGCTGGCACAGAGTGTGTGTGAGCTGTTTCTGGGGCCACGTTTCAGCTGGAAGATAAAGCCTGGGAGAGTCTGGGGCAGGTGTGACTCTGTGGTCGCTCTGCAGCAGGACCTGGCTCCCTCCCTCCTGTTCCAAGTAGCAGCCGGTCTTCCAGACCCCACTGGGAGGCTCCTACCCCCCGACCCCCCTCCCTGGCTCCACGAGACACCCAGACGTTGACGGTGGAGCAACCTGCTCCTTGAGGTGGGGAGGAGGAGCAGGCACGACGGAGCTGCCTGCACAGAAACGATCGTGGGTGACGCCCCAGCCGTGGTCACCCGGGCCGCCCTCCGGGCAGGCTGGCTTCTTCTCATCCCATGAGACCCTTCCCGAGGACGCGTTTCCTGGTGCCGGCTTCTGGGGAGCCAAGCTTCCCACCCACACCACCGAGGGGCTTACAGGGTGCCCGTGCCGGAAGCAGAAAGGCAGCTTCGAGCCAAGAAGTCCCCACCGGAG